ACATTATTTCCCCGAAGGATTAAAATGGAGCATGACAGAAATTGTACAGCTCATTTAGTCAAACTGATGTACACTGATTATTTGTTGCCCAACATTATTACTTGGAATTGTTTCAGTTATTTTGAGTGGCAGTGACCAAAACTGGAAGTGCCACCCATATTTTAAAATGCAGTAGACTTGGAAAAAGCTCAATATGGCACAGAAAAAGTCTCAAACAATGCTCTAAAGATATCTCAGAAGTGTAAATGGAAATGGCACTAACTCTGGAAGTCCCCTTTGACCAAGACTTCCACTGAAACGCCATCAGATGCCATATCACATACTTTTATTATGTCAGTTTTCTCATATTCAAACAATCAGTGCTGAAGGTGACTGAAGTGCTTCAAAATAACTAGGAACCAGCAAGCCTTACGCTGTACCTGAGGGTAATAAAGCAATTCCAATTATAAAGTAGATTCTCTGAGTGCAACGTAACTCATCAAACGCAAAACCCACTCAAGAGATGAACGGTTTTAAAAAATGTAGCAAAAACTACATTTATTTCACCATAGACACCAGTCCAATAGCGTTGTACAGAATCTATCATAGTACAAATACAAATATATTTTCAATACCACATACGAATACCTTTGACTTTATATACTTCATACTTTGTGCAAGAGAATACATTTATCATATACATTTAGCATTTACACAATTAACATTTGTGCATATCATTGTCTGCATGAACATCACTATCATGATTATTATTGAACCACCATTTGACGAGAAATGATGAATAAAATATTACAGTAGACCGATAATAAACACCATGGTGGTGTTTGTACTCATGTTCACAACATCCTCACCAGGATTCCTGGAGAGTCATCTTGTATCAGCATTTGTGTAAATCACCAGAGCACCATTTAGCCAATCACAAGTGCTTATGACACATCAAATCAATGACATGATGCAGTTCAATCTTCATCTTGTGTTCAGAATGGAATACTTGTATACTGTAGTATAGTATAGTATACTGCCAGTATATACTGTATTCTGTCTTTTATTAACAAATAGTATCTCAAACTGTGTACGTGCTATACTAAACCTTTCAATTTCATTCCATAAATAACAACATTCCATAAATAAATATGGTTGATATGCATTTTAATAGTTGCTGAATATTATTTAATATTGGTGCAACAGTGACTGCCAACATTTTCAGCAGTTTGATTCTGGAACAATAAATACAATAAATTTTTCCCCATAGTGATTTAAAAAAAAGTCTTTGTTATAATCCATGAACCAAACCAACCAGCGACAAGATTTTCCAAATTTTTCACCAATTTCACAACAACCTTTGATTTGAAGCAAAAAAGTATTTGAAAATTGGACAAAAAGACGACGTTACAAGACTGTGTACTTAATAAGGGGAAAGAACTACAATCCCATGAAGCACTGCAAATGACAAAACCATTAAAAAAGATGGAGAAATATAAACTATTGATTTAAAGATACAGAAATAAAATATTTTACTTTTATAAAAAAATATGCATATTATGCATACAAACATTTAAGTAGTTTAAGTGTGCAGGGAACTGACTTTACATCATTCGCAGTGCTTAATAGGATCTTTTGGCACAATTTACTTGTTGCAATTCTCTGATTGGTGGCGATTCTCTGCAGAGTCATGGGTAATGTAGTTTTCACAAGGAATTCCACCATTAAGCATGATCACAGTAGATCTGTCTTAAAGAGTTTATAAGTTACTGTGAAAAATAAATTCCACTATCAAGAAAACGAACAGGATTTCTTCCAGAACCCGAATGTTTCACACTATTGCACAAAAGCTTTCATTGTGGGATACTGTACACTGTACACATACTATACCCAGCATACATACTATATACTACACTAAGGGTAGTATACTAGCATGCTATTCCGAACACAGCCTATGTTTACAAAACCAGCAGCAACATTCCAAATATTGTGAGGTATTAACAGTTCTCTAAAAATAATGAGCAATGTGCTATTGTCACAAGCACTTATGAACAGACAAATGACTCTCATAGTCCCTGTAGGGATTTTTTCTGTACATCCCGTCCCTCCAAATGAGAGAGAGTCTTTGCCACCGCAAAGAAGGAAATGAGGCAGGAGAGACGAATCATTAATAGTCCAGCTGAAACTTTGCTGTACAGGCCTGCTGATGAATCCAAGCCGCACACACCGAGATAAAGCAAGAGAGTTTACAAGGGTCAAACAGAGGCACAGCTGTGGAGAAAAGCTACCATTGAAGACTGTCATTTAGGGGGCGCTGCAGACAGGAAACTAGTGTTTTATTCACGATGAGGTGACCAAGAATTACAGTTCCAATATACTGTGTTTAGAAATCATGTACTGTACTGTACTGTACTGTAGGACTTCAGTTTTTGTTTAAATCAGGAATGTAATGTGGTTTGCGTGACACAAAGCAGCTGATGAGTGTGTGAATGTGCGTGTCCAAGTAAAGTATCGTATTGCACGCTAATCTAATGAACTAATTCCTCTTTTCAAAAATCTTTATCATTGCTGTGTACCAAACACACAACAAAGATGGCTGCACAATGCAATTTTAATGATGTTTGCATTGCAAAGTAGCAGCATCCTGTGACGACTATAATATGACAGGTGCCATTTAGAAGCAAATTGCATTACAATGCTGGGAGATTCAATCTGCAGCTTTCGGTGACACTGGGGATCTAATAAAAACAAAACCACCAAATCTGTGATGAAATTACATCTCCTCTGTACAAAGCCTTCAAATGCCTTCAACAGCTTGTGACTGCTAATAATATTATCCCAGCATGCTCTGGGAGAAAAGCTGGCTATAAGCAAACTAACATCATTTAATAATTTCAACTTATTGTGAGGCTAGAACTTTTTTTTTTTTTTTTAATAAAGGGGTTGGGGGGGATTTTGGCCCGAATAAAGGCAAAAAATTTTTTGAATTTTGTTGAGAAAAACATATAATATGACAGGTGCCATTTAGAAGCAAATTGCATTACAATGCTGGGAGATTCAATCTGCAGCTTTCGGTGACACTGGGGATCTAATAAAAACAAAACCACCAAATCTGTGATGAAATTACATCTCCTCTGTACAAAGCCTTCAAATGCCTTCAACAGCTTGTGACTGCTAATAATATTATCCCAGCATGCTCTGGGAGAAAAGCTGGCTATAAGCAAACTAACATCATTTAATAATTTCAACTTATTGTGAGGCTAGGACTTTTTTTTTTTTTTTTAATAAAGGAGTTGTGGGTGATTTTGGTCCATGCTAAAATCATCTCGGGTAGGCAGGGCTTTGCTATGTAGTTCTTAAGGTGTTCTGGTTGGTTTATTACAAAAAAATCCCTCCTTCAGTGTAAATGTATAGGATTATACACTTTATTTATCATCTGCCTGGTGAAAATCATAAGTCTGATCACTTAGAAAAGCAATAGCACACCTCTCTTCAACAAATTACACGATTTGAGGTATCATGACTGTGATGCAAGATGGGAATCCCTAAAAAAAGTGAGTTCAAAATTAGGTAATGGGCTAATAAAACAGGAAACTATAAATCTGTTGATCTTGGTCACAAGAAATTTCGTAATACTGTCAGCTGCACGTCAGGGAAAGAATGTTTATGAGGTCATGGTGAAATTGGAAAATGGGAAGATTAACAACAGGATATGAAGTATTCAGAAATCAAATGCAGTTCAAGTATGACACCAGCAACACTAAGGTCCCAGGGAACACATACTGACAAAATGTAAACTTCAGATGTACTGTAAAATGCACTGGAGAGAAGAGTTTTCCAAATGAATGAATGTAAATAATGTACCATATCGTTACAACACTGACTCGCGATTGCATATCGAGCACTTGGCAGACTGTGATGGAAATGGCAACATCTTCACTATATGATACATATCGCGATACATGTATAGCAATTAGATATGTCATGATATCAAAATGTGATCGCGACTGACACTGCACCAAATTAGTGTGAATCGGTCAGTCTCTCTAATGCAGTATCAGAGTTCAAACTTAAGGCCTTGACACACCAAACAGGAACTAGCAGTGACGAAAGCTGACTGTTGTTGCCTCATGTTCGTGGTTCTTGGCTAGAAGTTGCGCTAGCAGGTACATTCTGTGCCTACATGAGAGAAAATAACTGTCCATAACAGCAGGTATTAATAGTCTGTATTTGTAATTCAGAAAGGGAAGTCAGAACTAGGACTGCATATACACAAACAAAGCCATTTTAAATATGAATAATGTTGATAATATTTTTAATTCCAGATGAAAAATTGGAAAATATATTGGTTATTGGATGCTCAGGTAAGATGGCAAAAAATGAGAACAGCCTTCTATCTGTGCCTTCTTGACTTCTTTGCTTTCATCACTTTTGCTATTATTCTCATGCACTTGTTAGTAAAACCGAACAGCCAATCAGAGTTCTCTCTTACAGACAGCGCTGATGCCAACAGACATTGATTCAACATGCTCAACTGGCCAAAAATCCCCCAATGAGTTCTAGTGCCAACGGTGCTGAACACGCCAGAAAAACTAGGCTGATTGATGCTCAATGATGGCCTTACGTTGGCCGTCAGCTTTGCTGTATTTAGATGACCTGATTGAATTGTAGAAAATATGGGAATAATAATGGGAACATTTAGTGTAATTCATGATGTTTTTGTAAGGACGTTTTTAGCTTGTCAAAATCAGCTGAGGGTTACTCATTTGAACGGTGTAATGGTTCACAGCATGTGTGGTTTTCAAATACGGTGACACATGAAATCAAAGCCAGATTCTCAAGCCTCCTGTGTATAACCTCCCATGAATCACAGCAAGTGTCAGAAACAAAAGAAACAAACAAGGCCCTCTGCTGGGCGGAGATGGGGAAAATTGCGGGTCGCGAATCAAGGTAGCTTATTTTTCTCCCCCCTTTTCAGTTCGCTGAGTCCCCACTAGCATTTCATCCCAGTTCCTCCAGGTTCATTTGTAGAGGAGCTGCAGTCGGCCGGGGTGGCAGTTGTTGCGGTTGATCTTGCCGTCGGGCTGGTAGAGGGTGGAGGAGTTGGAGAAGGTGGGAGGGAGGGAGTGGTTGTCAGAGGCAGGGAGGGGGTATCCTGGTGGCGGGAGGAGAGATTTGGGATCGTTCTGAGGAGCGGGGAGAGATGGAGAGCTGTGGTTCTGATTGGAAGAGGTGGGGCGTTTCCTGGAGCGCAGAGCCTGTCGCTCTGACAGCTGGTTTCTCAGCTCTGATACACGTTCCTCTTTCTGTCGGGAGAAAACATGAGGCGGAATGAGAAACTAGTTTCTGCTGAGCCTAAAAATATTATCTGTGCAGATATGAAAACCTCTAAGAAAAGGAAAATGAAAGTAAACGTGACAATCTGCCACGGCTCTCATGACATTTAGTATCAGATAGGATAGAGGCAAATAGAGAATTTAAAAAACTCAATTTGAATAGAACTGGCCACAGGATGCTGAATTGGAATGAAAGGAAGAGGATTTTGCTAAATCATAATTCAAAGAAATTCCAGTCACACAAAAGGGGAATTTGCTTTCAGTGGTGTTATTAACTAAAACTAAAACTATTAAAATTATTTCTGTAAATTCAATAAAATTTGATGAAATAAAATAAAACAAATATTAGATGAGGGCAACTAACTGAATTAAAATCAGTTTAAATGAACACAGCAAAATTAATAAAACTGACAAAAATGTATATTCAAAATATTAAGAAATACTATAATAGTATATAAATGATGCTAAAACATGTTTCCTTTGCATGCCACGAATGCTGCAACAAAATACATTTATTATTCAATTAATTCTGACTACACGAGAGATAAGCCTCCGCATCTGCACCAAAACACACAAACACACCACACTAGGTATGACAACAGACGAGATTCACGTTGACAGAATATAAGAGAATGTATAGACTTCTATGTACTATTTAAAAAAAATTGTATGTGAAAGGTCAACAGTAGACAACATTAGAAATGATAATAGTGATAAAAAACAAATAAAAATATTAGAAATAAAACAGTGAGCATTTATGAGTTCAAATAAAATTTCTCTGTATTCATCAAGTGGTTATCATGTTGGAAATGAACATTTTTATTAAAAATTTGAATCCAATTTTGCATTTAAGTCTTTTAACAGTCTTAGTCAATAATTCAAAGCGAACAGGTTAAAAATGGTGATCGATATTGCTTGGATTGCTCAATTCATTCTTCAGACTGAAAATGGATGAGTAAAATTCATTGTGGGATACATTGTGGGTCATTATTAACTAAAACTAAAACTATTAAAACATTTTGTAAACTGAAATAAAGCTGAAATAAAATAAAATATAAATATTAGATGAAAAACTTTAATTAGAAATTAAATTAGAAATATTGTTTTGGCAACTAATTGAAATAAGTTTAAGTTGAACCACTAAAATGACTAACTGGAAATAAATGGAAACAAAACTGTAATAAAAATAAATAAACATAAATGGACAAAAGTACATAACAAAATTACTAAAAATGCAACTAAATTTAAAATGATAGCTGAAAATATGAAATTAAAATATTAATAAAAATTGTAATAGTATAAAAATAATAATAAAATAACACTGGTCTGAGTGTACACAACAATTTCTTATTGGCTGTTGTTCACAAGCACTTTATGTCTTTCATCTCTTTCATATTCTCCAGAGACCTGTCTCCTCTGATGACACTGATTACAACACATCTCCATAATATCGTCACTCAGTGCGCTTTAAGATTCCATGAGCAGACCGCTGAGAGAGATGCATATGTCACACATTTACACGTCTCTTTGATCACTCCTTCCCCTACTCTAGATATCCATCATTAATATTCATCACTGTAATACAATATTTACATTACTTGTTTTGAGAAAATATTGTATTACAGTGATGAATATTAATGATGGATATCACTGTAATACAATATTTACATTACTTGTTTTGAGAAAATGATCTTCTGTTGTACCTTAGGGACAAAGAGCACAACCAGAGTGATATAGACGGAGAAGATGATGGCCAGCGAGGCGAAGGCGAACGAGGCGTCCTGCTTAGACGACAGAATCATGGTGACGGGAGCCGTTATCATACACAACACCTGAAAGAGAGACAAACGGTCACATATACAGGTGTTTCTTTTGCTGTGCTCGAAATGCCATACTACCATACTACTCTTACTATTTCTGCAGTATCCAGTATGTATACTGTGCATAGTATGCAAACTTTCTGTATTCATGAAATACCCCGATTACCTACTATATTTGCCAGAATCTGCTAAATATAACTCAACTGCACTGAAATCTGTACAGAAGCTGTGTTTGGAATGGCATATATTGCAGTATGCAATGTGTATACTGTGAATAGCATGTGAATTTTCTGTATGCATGGAATTCCCGGATTACCTGCTACATTTGCTGAAATTTGATGCATGCATCTGAAGACACTGCATGGGATACTCTTTCCCACAACGCAATGCACTCCACGTGAGGTTGGGTTCAAAATTTAATGTAAAAATTTAACCCAACAGCTGGGTTAGTCCATATTTGACCCAAAGTTGGGTTGAAACAACCCAGCATTTTTTAGAGTGTAGTATGAGATTCTGTTCTAGTACACCCCAAAACAAAATCAAGACTTTGTAAAAGAGCATAATAGGACCCCTTTAAAAAATTGTAGGCAGTATACATGGTATACTGGGCAGTAGGCAGTAAGCAGTATGTTAATATGCCATTTTGAAACTATGGGCACTTACAAACCCCCCCCAATATTTCTTATATTTGTGTATTGACAACGTCCAACACAGTGTTGTAATTGTTAAGTAAAACTATAAAAATAGTTTCCAAAGATTTTTAAATAAAATAAAATAACAAAATTAAAAAGTTTGATAAATGAAAAAACTGAACTTATGTTGCCTTTGCAACTAACTGAAATAAAATACGTTTAATTTGAAGTACTAAAATTACTAAAACCAAAACTGAAATAAAAATAAATTAAAGCAGAGTAGAACAACCCCCAAAACTAATAAAAACATTACAATAGCACATAACATGAACATATATATATATTTATATATATATATATATATATATACAGTATATAAATAAAACTAATCTAAAATAATAATATACACTACAACAGTACATAAATAATACTAAAATAACAATTATCAAAAGAGGGTTCTGTCACTTCTTCTGAATTATTATGTTTCTGAACCACTGTTCTAAATTCTTAAATGATGTATTGCATGATAAAAATGTGTTTAAAGATTTAAAACATTTTTGGAATAAAATTGCTAATTACATAGCTAGCATTTTATATATCCTAAATACACACAATTAATATTTTCACACTTTTTGCATTATTTTACAGAATATTGGGATAAATTATGCTAAATACAAATTTCTCAAATTTCATTTTCCTTATAAATGTTTACACAATAAATTTTAAAATGGTTTACGATTATTTCACAATTATTTCACTGATTTTCATTTATGATTGAAAGTCTGGGTATGGCACATTTAGCAATAAAGTATATGCATAAATGGCTTTTGAAAAGCAGCAGAAATAAACGATGAAGGCATTATAATATATTCACAAGATCGTTCATAATGTGATGTTTACATAACTAAAAGAAAAAACTTCTCTAGGAGGCAGAGGAGAGGAGAACAGAAGCCAAGAGAGAAAGAAGCATGAAGCAATAAATATTGATCATCAGTCAGTCATTTCTAACAAAACCAGTAAAATCTTATCCAGGCTAGCAAAAAGAAAATGTTGTCTGGCATCAACAGAGGTGATCTTTTTTTGCAGGGTCATTAGTTATTTGGACAGGACAAAAAGTGCAAGCAGTCTCTCTAAACCAAAGCGGTTTACAGCTGGACTCACAGCAGTAGCCTACGGCTTTCACAGAGCCCATTTGAATCACACCATGACAGAGCAGTAATGATGTATGAAAACCTGCATGCTTTTAGTTTAAAATGCATGGCCATGCTAAATAATGCAAACAGTAAGTGAATCCTGAATGGAAAAGAGTAGCAAGCAAGTCTTTAAAATATTTTCTTTCGTGTTCCAAAGAAGAATGACAGTCATATGGCTTTGGAACAACATGAGGGTGAGTAAATGATGACAGAATTTACAGTATGCCATTATTTAATCATCCTCATGTCATTTCAAACCCATATGACTTTCAAATCTTCTGTGGAACACAAAAAGGAGACATTTTAAATAATGACTATATAATGACAGTTAAAGGGAAAGTTTGCCCAAAAATGATAATACTGTTATTATTTACTCATCCTCAAGTTGTTCCAAACCAGTATGAGTTTCTTTCTTCTGTTGAACACAAAAGAAGATATTATGAAGACTGTGGGTAACCAAACAATTGCTGGTTTTAACTGACTTCTATAGTATGGAAAAAATTAAATAAAAATACTATGGAAGTCATTGGTGACCAGCAACTGTTTGGTTTCCCACAGTCTTCAAAATATCTTCTTTTGTGTTCAACAGAAGAAGAAAAAAAAAACTTGAGGTTAAGTAATGACAGAATTTCAATTTTTGGGCGAATTATCCCCAAAACTACCATAAAAGCACAATAAAAGTTAACATTCTAGCTTCGAGTGAGAAAAAAAACTACATTAAAGTTGTTACACACTGTTTATTTCATCAGGTGACAGAATTTCAATTTTTGGGCGAATTATCCCCAAAACTACCATAAAAGCACAATAAAAGTTAACATTCTAGCTTCGAGTGAGGAAAAAAACTACATTAAAGTTGTTACACACTGTTTATTTCATCAGGCTTATTGCTGGGTGCACTATTTTTTTAAACTTATACATTTATTATGAGTATATAAATATATGAAAGTACTTATGACTTATGTACGATATATTGAATGCATCATGCAGAAATTGTTCTGTTATTTTACTGAGAGGAGGTTATTAATGGTGACCTGCCAAAAGACTGCAGATAAAAATTAGCCACTGGCTAACTATGGAACATCAAATGGAAGCATTTATGTTTAATACTGTACATGGTCCCTTCCAAATGAATAAATAAATAAAATAAATAATATTTCAAAAACCTCTATGCATTCTATTTCTTGATTCGGGTGTCAAACTATTTCAATTTCAATGTATTTATAAAGCACAACTAAACACAACTACCGTTGACCAGTGTGCCGTACAAAGTGAGTAACCACAGACAAAATTAAAAACAAAGACAGAGTCACAAAAAAAAATGCAAGACACAGGGCAGAGCAAATGCAAATCACGAATAATAATCCAGATCAAATAAAAAAAAATTTAACCTGGATTTAAAAATGGATAGTGTAGGGGCAGTTCTGATTTCTGTAGGAAGATTATTCCAAAGACTCGAAGCAGCTACGGCGAATGCTTGATCACCCCTAGATTTGAGTCTGGTTCTAGGAACCACTAAGAGCCTTAAGTTGGCAGACCTGAGAGCTCTTGCAGGTTGGTGAACTATCAACAGGTCCGAGAGGTAAGAAGGTGCTAAACCATTTAAAAACTTAAAAACCAATAAGAGCACTTTAAAGGGGTCAATTGATGCGATTTCAAGTTTTCCTTTCTCTTTGGAGTGTTACAA